CATTTACACTTTTAGTTATAAAGTGGTATTTAAATATTGGTTTATTATGGGGGAGGAGGGGGTAGGCATAGGGATATGGATGACAGTACTGTATATGGATTTACTGTAGTTTTTTTGGGGTTTGTACTGTACTTAAGGTATTTCAATAAATAAAACTATAAGTTATATATATAATTAATGTCATAATTTATTCACTGTTTTTTTAGTTTAGTTTATTTTATTTTATATTATTTGGATTAACTTCTTAACTATATCTATATATATATATATATAAGTTTCATATATATATGTATATATATGATAAATATATTTATATACAATAAAATTTATATATGTTTTTATATACAGTATAATGGATTAAAATAAGCAGAAAAATTTATGTACAATCAGAGTACAAAAGTTAGTTTTTTTGTATATAAATTTTGATTATTTTTTTACCAAAAAAATAAAATAAAAAAGAAATTCTCTATTCATTTGTGAGACAATTTAGGAGAAACAGATGGTATTCATTGAGAGAGAGAGAGAGAGAGAGAGAGAGAGAATACTGTACTATAAAAGCTATGAAAAACACACATAAGTCACATATACATACATACACACACACACACATACACACACACACATAGACACACACACACACACATACACACACATACACACACATACACACACATACACATACATACATACACACATACACATACACACATACACACGCATATCACATATACACAATACACACATACATATACACACACAACAAATGAAAAATGACTTTAAATTATATATAGATATATAATATATAAAACATATATATATATATATATAAAGTTGTGGAGACTATATGTAAGAAACAAAATAAAATAAAAATAAAATACACACAAAAAATAACTAAATGTAAAGTAAATTCAATTCAAATGTGAATTAAGTAGAAAACTCATATACAGTATACGGTATATACGGTATATATATATACTGCACTATTAGTACTGAATATATATATATATATATATTTAGTTTTTATTTAAATTAAATTATCTATTATGTTGTGTAAGACAAGAGTTTTTTTTATATATTATAATATTATAAAAAAAACTAAACACACTTTAAATGGTTAACAAAGTGTTTTAAACTATATATATATAATTACATTATATATCTATTTATATATATATATATATATATATATATATATATATATATATAATAATATATAACATACATGTCTTATTATATTATTTATTACAACAATTTTATTTTATATTTAATAATAATAGTAATAATATAACTAATATATTCTTATATATATATAAGTAATTCAATAATTTTTTTGTTACTATTTTTATTTAACTTTCAATTTAATATATTTTGTTTGATAAAATTAAATAGTTTAAATTTAATATAATTTATATGCACATTAAAATAAAATTATTTTATCTTTTTTAAAAATATTTATTTATAGATATTTATTATAATATAATATAATAAAATTGTTGCTTATGTTTTGTAAACTTTATTTACTGTATTTGAATATCAAATAATTTTATTAACAGATAAAATAAAACAAAAATTAATTTTTTTGTTTGAAATAAAAACAATTTATATATTAATTAAATTTCTATCGCATTTTTTTTAAAGGTAATTAATAATAATTACTAACTTATATTTCAATTTTAATTATTAATTAGCATAGAGTTAGTTAGTTTGTTGGGAATAACAAAATAATAATAATTACTATTATTATTATTATTGTAATGATAACCTCCTTAAACAAAAAATTATTATTACTATTATTATTATTATTTAAAATGTGATTAATTTCATAGTATTATTATACCTTATATTTAAAAAATAAAATAAATTATAATTTATGGTTTCAATAGCACATAATATATACTGTATAATAGTATATATATATATATATATTATATATAAACTTTTATGGTGTGTATGTAATTAAAACTAATTATAATAGATATCGATATATATATATATAAATCAGTTTATTTATAATATACAATATATTTTGTATAATAATTACTACTATTATTATACTATAATTACTACTATATTACTATATATAGATTAATGAGTTAATAATTGATTGTTAATTATTGGTGACTTTTTTTTTGCTATTGTTTTTTTTGCTATCAATTTTTTGTTGTGTAGGTGACTCCCAATGGCTCAGTTCGCTATCGATTCAGGAGCTGATGCCTACATTGAAACACTACATCACCTATGAGGGCTCCTTGACCCAACCGGCCTGTCACGAAACAGTTCAATGGATAGTATTGAATAAACCAATCTATATGAGCGCCCATCAGTTTTATTTGTTGAGGAATACCCTGAAAAGTGATGGACATGGAGACAACTATAGGCCCGTACAGCCACTCAATCATCGGTCAATCAGATCCAATATTGATAATGCTGCTAATCAGGTATGTATGTGTGTGTGTGTGTGTGTGTGTGTGTGTGTGTGTGCTGGGTCATATTTATTTAT